TCTTTTCCGCCTGCGTTCCAGGGAGTACAGGTTCAGGAACTTCAAGCGCTCCCAGTAATTGAGGTGTTTTATTTCCGTTATGCGCGCCGTGAAGGTTCTCTGTACATTTTCTAGGTCAGCAATTTCACCTGCCTTAAAAGGTGCTGTTAGTGTGCAGCAATATTCCAGCCTAGATAGAACAAGTGACCTGAAGAGTGTCATCATGGGCTTGGCATCCCTAGTTTTGAAGGTTCTCATTATCCATCCTGTCATTTTTCTAACAGATGCGATTGATACAATGTTATGGTCCTTGAAGGTGAGATCCTCCGACATGATCACTCCCAGGTCTTTGACGCTGGTTTTCCGCTCTATTTTGTGGAAGGAATTTGTTTTGTACTCTGATGAAGTTTTAATTTCCTCATGTTACCATATCGGAGTAATTGAAATTTCTCATCGTTGAACTTCATATTGTTTTCTGCAGCCCACTGAAAGATTTGGTTATGTCCGCCTGGAGCCTTGCAGTGTCTGCAATGGAAGACACTGTCATGCAGATTCGGGTGTCATCTGCAAAGGAAGACACGGTGCTGTGGCTGACATCCTTGTCTATGTCAGATATGTGGATGAGGAACAACATGGGAGCGAGTACTGTGCCTTGTGGAACAGAGCTTTTCACCTTAGCCGCCTCAGACTTTACTCTGTTGACTACTACTCTGTGTTCTGTTTGTGAGGAAATTATAGATCCATCTACCCATCTTATGTAAATTGTATAAGGGGTGGGTGCATAATGGATGTATGTTCGATTATGGTAATACCAAATTTAATTTTGTTTGTAACAAATACACTCTGGCACGTTACCTTTCAGCAGTGATTACACTGATTTACCTAATTTTAATACAAATGACCCCTTGCAATATACTGATAATTATGACTGTTATATGAAAACAGACCTTCACTTTTTTCATGTTAACGCAAGATCACTTTTTCCAGAATTGGCAGATTAGGATTCTAGCTTACAGAACTAGGCGGCAGTTATACCCATCTCTGAATCCTGGTTGGATGATACGGTGACTGATGACGTGGTCAAAATAGAAGGTTGCAATATAAAACGCTTAGATAGGAATAGAAATGGTGGTGGGGTATGTGCCTACATAAGAAATGACAGCCTACAACCCAAGACCTGATTTAAATGAAACTGGAGATTCTATGGCTTGAAGTGTTGCTTCCCAAGACCAAACCCATCTTAGTAAGTGTTTAGTGTTTAGTAAGAACTAGTTACCGCCCTCCCACCCATGATCAGTTCTTAGAGGACTTTTCGAGAGTTTTGTCCGGACTTGATAATTGAGAGACAGTAATACTGGGAGACTTCAATATCCGTTTTCAACTGCAAAATAACGGGCTATGTAAAAGGTATAAGCAAATTCTAGGTTTAAATAGTTACACTCAACTAATTAATACACCAACCCGGATTACGCCGTTCTCAGCCACCCTAATTGACCACATACTTTGTAACTGCTCTGAGAACATTAGTCAGTCAGGCGTCATTACCACAGGCCTTAGTGATCATTTCATCATTTACTGCACCAGGACAATAAAAATGAGGTCAACTGAGAAACTACAGTAAAGAAACACTGGTAAATAGGCTACACAATTGTGACAGGACAGTAATAACAAGTTGCACGGACGCAAATGATACCTGGGAAAAATTCAAAACAATGTTCACTGCCATCCTAGATTATACTGCACCAGTTAAAAAATTAGGATTAAACGGAGAACCGAACCCTGGATGACTACCAAGATGTTAGATAGTATGAAATTCAGAGACCAGTTACTAAAATGATTTAAGGCAAAAAGACTGGAATTCATTTAGCACTGGAATATCCTAAGGGTGAGAGAAACAGTGCAGAGGCTTGTAAGAGGAGCAAAGGTAAGGTACTATTGCTCAAAAATCGAAGAGTACAAGAATAACTCTAGAAAGCTAACATGACGGTCTGGAGTTTTGAGACTCTGATCGCGGGTTCTATCCCTACCCGTGGTATGGTTTATCTAACATAGTACTAAATCTCGATAACGAGGTATGCCACGAAACAACTAAAGTGTTAAATTGTTTTAATTCATACAACAACTGTGGCATCAACACTAGTAAGTAAACTACCAGCTGCATCAAATACCTTTAACACAGACTCTGATAAGTTTAAAACATACTATACCAATAAAGGGGTAACCCCAAACAGTTGTCAACTAGTAAGTGTATCTCATGACTTCATGCAAAAAGAACTAAGCAGGTTAAACCCAACTAAGAGCACCGGCCCAGATAACATCCCGTCTAAGTGCCTAAAAGATGGTGCTGCCTCTGAATTGCCAATCCCCATTGCTCACATAATAAATTTGTCCATCACCACTAATACCGTACCAGAGGGGTTCAAGGAAGCCAGAATTACTCCTATCTTCAAGAAAAATAGTAGGTCTGATGTCCGCAACTATAGGTCTGTTGGTATACTACGTGTAATATCCAAAATTCTAGAGAGGGCAGTGTACTGTCAAGTAACTTAATGACGACAACATTCTTCAGTTACCAATCAGGCTTTAAGAGATCTTACTAAACCAACACCTCCCTAATTAATCTGATGGATTACATGAGAACTGATATGTCGATAGAGAACCCCATAGGAATGGTAACCTTAGACTTGCAAAAGGCCTTCGATACTGTCAACCACAATATATTATGTAAGAAACTTCAAGCTATCGGCGTAGGTTCCATACACTGGCTCAAGTCCTATCTTAGCAACAGGAAACAAATTGTCAAAATCAATAAAACGGAATCAGAACCCCTGCCGATAGCATGTGGAGTTCCCCAAGGTAGTACTCTGGGTCCCTTATTATTTCTTTGTTATGTTAATGATATGCACATCAGTGTCAACTGCAAACTCCTATTGTATGAGGATGACAGTGTTCTGTTGGTGTCAGGTAAAGACCCACAAGATACTATAGCTAATGTAATAACACTAGAATTGGAGTCCTGCAGCAAATGGTTAGTAGACAACAAACTATCGTTACACCTCGGGAGAACGGAAGCCATACTCTTTGGTACGAAACAAACCGAGAAGGGTAAATAATTTTAATGTTCAGTGTAATGGGAAACCCATCATTTCAGTTTCCTCAGTAAAATATTTGGGAATTCCCTTTGACCTATGCATGTCAGAACTGATAGAGAACGGTATAGTAAAGAAAGCGAATGCCAGACTGAAGTTCCTCTAGAGATAAGCAGTGTCTACCTACTGAGGCTCGCAGGACCCTATGTCTAGCCCTTATACAATATCATATGGACTACGCTTGCTGTTCATGGTACTCTGCCTTGACAAAAAAACTCAAAGATAGACTGCAAATCACCCAGTACAAAATGGTAAGATTCATCCTGGACCTGGGTCCAAGAGAACATGTAGGCCAGGATGAATTACAACAACTGGATATGCTGAATGTTGAAGACAGAGCAAAACAACTGAAGTCAAATCAAGTTTATAAAATTGCTCACGTGTCCAGAATATCTTGCTGCCAATTTTGTCAAGGCTGGGAACCAAAGCAATTATGGTACTAGGGGGAAAGCACAACTTTGTAGTACCCACAGTCAGTGGCCAGGCTTCAAACACCTTTTATTGTACAACAATTAAGGAATGGAACAAATTGCCTGCACATGTCAAAGCCAGTCAAGAAGAGCCAAAACATGCCAGAAAGGGAGATATTTTTTTTTTTACCTAACACTCATGTAAATGTAAATAACTCATTTTACCTTATTCCTAGTATACCTCCTTGACAGTATAATAATAAGATATCTTCTTTCTAGTATAATAAGGTATTAAAAGGACTCCAACGGAAATAAGTCGCTTTGTCTGACTTTTTTGGGTTATCCTAGGTTCTCTACACATATGCTGCTATGTATGATAATCAGCATTGTAATCCTTATAGAGAATAAACTTTGAATTTGAATTTGAATATGTAACTGCATCCTGCTATGTATGATAATCTATGTAAATGTATTTGTGTATACCTGAATAAACTTACTTAATCTGATCCTAGTACACAATTTTATTAAGGAAGAACGTGTTTCCTCTGTCAGAGACGCAATTGTATAAAACTAAATTAAGAACAATTAGCAAGCACTTATTTAGTTATCTCTGTAAACTAAAACCTTTTCAAGGAAGGGGGGAGGGGATGGAGAACGTTCTTCATTGACATTCTTGGTGTACAATGGCCTTAATCTGGAATTTAGAAATTGCTGACATGTTCCCCACTGAAGAATTGCGATAGGGTGGAAAACCCTTGCAATTCGGTAACAAGAATGGAAAAATAGAGGACTCCGATTCTTCCCAGCAGCATACCTTAGCTAAGTGACATTTACCCATAAAGTACAGTAGTTTCGCGTTGGCCATCGTAAATTCTAGCTGTTAGGAGTAGCGTTAGGGTGTGTTCCACAAATAATAATCATGATCCAGTAATTAAATGGTAAGTGCTCAGGTTCAATTTTCTTTTCTTTCTATTTATATAATATGCATATATTTTTAGTAAAATGATGTATACTCAACAGACTCCCCCCCCCCAACCTCTACTTTCAAGTCACAAACCATCATACAGTCCACTCAATATCTTGTAATTTACCAACATTACTGGTATTAATTTTTATGTTGTAATATTTGATACGCCCGACTTTGTGGGTGGGAAAGTGTATGTATGGGTTCAGGAGAGGCATGGTGCAGCCTAGTGTCTCTAAAATCCCACCTGGCTCTAAGGTACAACTAACATTGGCGAGTACAATAAATTGTTGCTTAGTTGTGTCCCCCTCAAATTATGTGGGTGAAATATTTCAGGAATTTGCCTGTTAACCTCATCCCCATAATTTCCCATGCATGGATTAATTATTATTCACCCCCCTGCCCTAGTTCTGACCCCTACGGGCTTAGTGCTTCACCATGAATATACTGAGAGTAATAAGAGTAAAAACGTGAAGATATATAGGAGCAAGTACTGACCCACATTCATGCCTCCACCAGACATCGAGACAAGTGAAGGGTTCCTCGCAGGTAACATTGGTACAGGCAGATGGAGCCGTACATCCCGCTGCCACGTTGGTAAACATAGTCGCTTGTGCCGATGACGAAGTGTTTAGCAGCGGCGGTAATGGCAGCTGAATGCCAGACACTCGCAGGTCGTCCAGGCAACCTGAGGCGGACAGAACAAGCCCACACAAAAAGAAAAAGTATTAGAGTCAGGAAACAGTGAAGGTAAATTATGCACAGTAAGAATGGAGAAAAAGCGTACTTAAAATGATAGGGGCCATAAGATGTGACTGAGGGACAGAGAACCACAAGAAAATATTCTCGAAGTGAATTTAAGAAGTTATAGTCATTTCACCTAAGAAAGCTATTCCCCAAGAATATATAATGCTGCGTGTTACAGAAATTAATCGATCTAATCGTCATTAGGTATCCCGAAAGATGGAATTCTATGTGGTGACAGGAAGTTTTTCCAAGAATTTTTCCTTAGTAACTGTAGACCATCATTGAGAATTGGAATCGTTTCAGACGAATCCTTCTCATATGAGCAACAGAAAAACAAAGCTTTAGAACTTTGTTTTTCTGTTGCTCATATGAGAAGGCTTGTCTGAAACGATTCTAATTCTCAATGATGGTCTACAGTTAATAAGGAAACATTCTTGGAACTCATTCCAGGAGTATGGAAATAACTCTGCTAACTTAAGCTTTCACTTTGAGCTCTGTAAATTTGAATTACCAGTTTTATTAAATAAAAAAAAGCAAATATTTTTTCCTTAAAATGATTATAGAGAACTTTAAACTGCGAAAATAAAACAAAGAAAATAGGAAAATTCATTTTTATAGCATTTTAAATTATCAAGACTTTTGCGTACCCTCAAATACCGTACGACTTAATGCAAGAGCCGGTCATGCTTTTAGGTACAGTGTTTTTGTCTTCTATTAACATAACTTCAAAAACTTAGTCAACTGGCTTCAACTTTTTTTTTTTTAACCTGGTGAACCAAAAGTGAAGGTTTGATCAACTGAAAAGTGTAGATGCTTTCCGTTCAGTTTTATATAGACCAATTCTGAAACTGCTTTCCATAAAACAACCTTAAAAAGCCTCTTCTGATTGGTGTCAAAACTTCAATACTCGTTCATCCTACTGAGAAGGTGGGCATTGTTAATGGTGTAGGGGCCATTTTTGCCACTTTTAGTCTCCAAATGGTCTAGTTATATTTTGCATTGACTGAAGTATGCTTCCTCAAGGTGGTAGAGTGCCTTGATGCTTTTAAGGGGCTCTTGATTCAAGGAATTGGACTTATCCTTCCCTTCCTTGGACTGAATGCCTCCTATTCTACAGATACTATAAGAGCCCTACAGGTAGAGCGCTCTCCTCTGATTAAAATAAAAATTCTAGACGGCATCAATATTTAATGGCTGATGCATCATGTGCAACGAGTAAAACTTTTTCTTGGACGGATTTAGGCTGTGCAAGTGCAAAGTTTGTTAAATCTTGTGCAATAGCTAGATAATACATTTTCTGGTCGGCTTCAAACTTGTAGTGTTGATGTGTTTTCCTTAAGGGAAGTTTTGCTTTTATATTTGAGTCTTAATGTGCCAATTTTATTAATCAAATTGGTTTCCGTGAAGTAACTGGAAACTGTTTCTGATAAAAAATAACTCAGAATTAGCCTTAACTGTGCTATCCCAGGTTAGGTCTACACAATGCATTATGTGCACATAATGCACATTTTGCGTGTCCTAAAAACCATTGTAAATAAATTTTAAGTTATGTACCCAAAGTGTGGAATTTTTTTACATAATTTCCTAAATGTAGAACATATGAATGAATAATACAATAATTGTGTAATAAAATATGATGCTCTTTTTGCCCCTTTCGAGAAATTTTAAGTAAAAGGGGGGGGGGGTGAAAGGGCCGTAGGACGCCATTTGTTTTTCAGGGAGAGCACGGGTGGGAATTTTGCACCGAATTCGGCATTTTCCGAGGCCAAACCATTGTTTCAGCTTAAATTTGTTTTGGAACCCCGGTTTTAAATGTCCCCTGCTGAAGAAGGGACAAAATTTTGCGGACCCAAGAATTACGATGGATGGCGAAATAATAATGCGACATAAAACACGGGAAGTGTACCATAGTCTTTGCATTTCCTAGAGGGCCGTATAGGACTAATTTAGGCAGTTGGGGTGTGATAACACAAAATTTAAAATGGAAGTGGAATCAAATTTTTTAAAACACAATAATTTATGTATAAAATTTAAAATTTTTTCTGGGAAAGGGGTTGGTAGACAGCAACCACCCAGGGAGGTACTACCGTCCTCCCAATGAGTGTAAAACGAAAGCCTGTAATTGTTTTACATGAGGGTAGATTGCTGGTGTCTTTTGTCTTCCCCTCAAACAGCAAGGGTTTCGTACATCTTGTAGTTCTACTTACATTTAGGTCACACTACACATACATTAACAAGCAATATTACACACCCCCTGGTTTTTTTCTTCTATTTCCTTACAAAAGTTCTTGTTTTTTTTTTTCTCTTACTTCCAGGGGAAGTGAAACAAAATTCTTCCCCAAACCATGCTTTGTAGGGGGCGACTAAAAGCCGGGGAGAAAGGGGGCTAGTAACCTCTTCTCCTGTATAAATACAAAATGAAAAAGGGGAAAACTTTCTTTTTCCCTTTTTGGCCACCCCGCCCGGGGATAGGGCCGGTGTGTTAAATAAAGAAAATTATATTTTTTTTTCCAAAAGTTTAAAGATATATACATTACATCCACAAACCTTAATTACCAGATAGCGGGTTTTTTTTAAATATTAATGTAATGTCAGGCTAGTTTTTTGTGAAAGGCAGAGGAAGTGGACTTCAAAGGAGATGCAGTCAGAGACCTACTGTAACTTAAAGTCCCACTTACCTCGCCCAAATTATTGCGGGAAATACAAAATAACCCCACAAAAAAAGACAAAGCTTACACACTTTGGGTCCGACTTGGCCTTGACAAAGTCGGACCAAAACGTCGTCGTAAGCTTCTGTTTTTTAGTGCGGGTTATTTGTGTATCGTTCCCAGTCAGGGTATTGTGCCTTTTTGTTATTTTTGCTAAAAATTCGGTAATACCCGAAAACCCTCCGCAGGATTTTTTAATAAAAATTTTTTTTCACACAAACTTTAATAACGCAAAATTTAAAACCCCAAACTTCTTTTTTTAAATGTTTTTTAATCTTGGAACTTTTTGGGAAAATTTTTTGGCACCTGTGTAGGTATCAATGTCATTTTTATAAAAGAAAATGGGAAAATTGAAATACTATTTTGCAAACGATAGTAATAACTTGCAAGTGTTCCCCTTTTAGTTCAACAAGAAACTTGAAAATTTTAAACTAGGGGCTTCAAGAAAAAGTAGTGGTTCTAAGATACTGACTCTCAAAAAAAGGGAAAATGTCTCGTTGTTTACTTCAAGCGGGTTTTTCCTTAAGATACCGCCCCATGTTCCCCACCGAAAAATAGGACCTGGGTGTTAAGGGCGCACAAAATTGGCGAAATTTTGCCAGAAATGCTTCGCATAAAAAGGGGGCTTTCTTTTTAGTATATTGATACCACAGCTTGAACTTAATATTATTTGTAAAATAAGATTTTATTTATAAAAAGGGTTTAATTATTTTTAATGTTATAATTTACCATTTTATTAAATTTGGATATTATCTACATAAATGACTTGTGAATGTCTCTTCTGATTCCTTTGAAATCTCTACAAATTTTTAAATTTGCGTAAAGAAAGTTATGTCGCACTCGTACAAATGCATCGTGTACACGAAAACAGAGGGGGGAACCTTCCTGGGGTCGAACAACCACCGAAATATACTTGTTTTAACACTAATATGTAAATACAAACAAATCTAATCTGCGAAATACAAAATTAACAAGAGATATTAAGCTTTTACCGTCATGAAATCATATGCTGTTAAGACTCACCCCAAACATACTCTGGCGACCCCCTACATTCGCCCTCCGCCTGTCTATCAGGAGAGGTCGACCACCCCTGTACGTTGCTGGGGGGTGTAGCTTTGTACATGGTCCATCCCCTTTCATCCACCGCAACCCACCCACTTCCATATTATGAAAATTTGTTCCAAAAAAAAATAACATATGGAATTTTTTAAGTCTTAAAATTTATTTATAGACTCGCAAATCAATATTTTAATGAACACTACTAAATGATGCTCTTATATAAGTTCAGCCTTTAGGCAAAAATGATTTTTAGAATTTGTCAACAGAACATAGACCCTGCTTAGATAGCCAACAGACTTTTTATAGTGTACCTATTTATAAGAAAAAGTTAAGTAACAAACCATATAATCCACAAACAGAAGATTCAGTTTACGTTGTTGCCATAACACCGTTTGTCACCCTAACTAATGAAACTGACAGAACGGATCAACCACAGTTACACTCCCTCAAAGAAACATGTGCCCTCTCCGTGGGTAAGAAGCCCCCGGAAGGCAAATGGACAAGATAGGATAAGCAGCATCTTGAAAAACAACCGTCCCCCGGGTGAAAGGCACAAGGTCCCGCCCATGTTGGGGGGTCACCGCTATCCTACCCCATTTTTCCCAAATCCTGTACCTGGGGGTTATAGAAGAAACTTTACACTTTTAACTTTAGGAAATTTCACGATCATATGTAATTGAATAAAGTAAAATAAATCAAATCTCCATAAACCCTGTAGCTTATTCATGTGTTTTTTATCTACAGCCCTGTATCGGGTAGTTTTGTCGGGGAAAAGAAACCTACGACTTGAACAGGGGGAAAAACTGTAACAGTAAAAACACGGGGAAATTTAAATAAATCATTCCTTTCCCCAAAAAAGCTTCAATTTTGGGCACAAAACTTTTTTTTTTAAAAAACAATAACAATGAAAAAACATTTACAATTTTTAAGAAAAAATTTCTGAAAGTTAATTTTGAGGAGTTCGACCTACGACTATTGGGAGGAATTATGGATAATATATATAAAAATAATATTATTATATATATAATAATTAAAAATTAATATAATATATATTAAATAAAAAACAACCACACACATGCAAAAAAACCACAGTTTTTTTTTGCATATTGTATTCACCTGTTTATCGTGATTTTTGCATATAATAGACATAAGCCAAAAATTCAAGCACTAAGAATTACAAGCATTATTAAGTAGCACCTCATGTTAAAGGGATTCGGCAAAAAGTGGGAAAATAATTTCCCAATATTATGCGTGTAAAAAACTTATTAAAGTGTTTTTTTAAAAAAAGAGAAGGAGCCGACAGGGAGCTCTGCGAAAGCGCAAAGACTCCCCACTGGTTTTGAATTGGATAAACTTAGTGTAATGGGAAGGAAATTTTTCGTCCTGAGGTTAAAATTGGGCTACACCTCTCAAATGGGAGGCGAAATTGTTGGACATGCATTTTTGCTAACTTGAATATCAACGACGGAAAAGATACTCCAGGAACCCAATAAGCCTCTGATTTTGTATAATTCTGGCCATTTTTTCATAAATTTATTTAGTGAGGTTTTTTTCTGGTATAAAACAAACTTAATACCCATCAAATTTAGTGATGACTTAAGATAAATTTTCCTTTTTTTATTAATTGTGTATATAAAAAGTAACCATTTTTATTTTAATATACATCCAAAAAATTTAATTTTTACCAAAAATTCCGCTGTAGTAATTTCATTTATTAATAGGTCCAGAGCAACTTGTGGTTATGACAGTGGTAGGAATGGGGGGGGACTTTTGCGACCTAGGTGTCCCAAATTCCTACTTGTCTAGTAACTCTGATAAATAATAATTATCTTTGTTATCATTTTTCTGTTATGTATATAATGTTTTAACATTCAAAAAATGAAATTTAAACCACATTTAATTTTGCGCGTTGGTCCTT